AGGTAACACAGTATATGTTTAATCCCATTCCAGTGCCTACGAGTAGGACATGAGCTAAATCTAGCCAACAAGTTTACTGCAAATGATATGTCAGGTCTTGTATGACTAGCAAGATACATTAATGCCCCTATTGAACTTAAGTATGGTACTTCAGGACCAAGAACTTCTTCATCTTTTTCAATAGAGTAGAAGGGATCATTTTTCACATCAAGTGATCTTACAACCATTGGACTACTCAAAGGATGTGCTTGATCTACAGAAAACCTTTTAAGCACTTTTTCTGTGTATGTCGTTTGATGCACTAGAATTCTGTTCCTTAGGTGCTCAATTTGTAGTCCCAAATAAAATTTTGTTTTTCCGGGATCTTTCATTTCAAATTCTTTCTTCAGATACTCTATTGTATGTGAGATTTCTTGAGGAGTTCCAATAATATTTAAATCATCAACATACACTGCAATTATGACAAATCCTTTCTCAAATTTCTTTATAAAAAAGCATGGACTGATAAGGTTGTTTTTATAGCCTTCTTTCAACAAGTAGTCACTAAGGCGATTATACCACATGCACCATGATTGTTTCAGCCCAGAAAGAGATCGATTCAACTTTATGCAATAATCCTTTCGAGAACAGACTTTGCTTCTTTTGGAAGTTTAAATCCTTCTGGGACTTTCATATAAATATCAGTATCCAGTGGACCATATAGATAGGTTGTGACTACATCCATTAAACGAAAATCAAGTCCTTCTTTTATTGCCAGACTGATAAGGAACCTGCAAGTAGTTGCATCCACCACTGGAGAGTATGTCTCTTCATAGTCAATTCCAAGTCTTTTGAGAAAACCCTTGTGCAACTAATCGTGCTTTGTATCTCACAATTTCACCACTTTCATTTCTCTTTCGCACGAAAACTCATTTGTGTCTTACTGGATTTATACCCATAGGTATACGGACTACCGGTCCAAATACTTCTCTTTTCGAAAAAGATTTCAATTCTGCATCTATTGCCTCATTCCATTTTTGCCAATCATTTCTTTGTGTACACTCTACAATAGATTTTGGTTCTTGATCCTCATCCATAACATCAACTGCTACATTGCATGCAAAAATATCATCGACGTCGATTTGCTTTCGGTTCCATCTGATTCAAGACATGACATAATTAGTTGAGATCTCATCATTATCAGGTACCTGAATTTCTTTTTGCGTCATGTCTAATGTCTCTTCTGGACATCTTTCATTTGGGATAATTACCTCGGCTTCATCTTTGCCAATTTCTGCTCCTTTTCTTTTTCAAGGTAATTTATCTTTGGAACCGATAGGTGTAACACGCTTTAGGCGTGCTTTAGACTCATTAGCAGTTTGATTTTGTCCTTCTTGGACGTTCATTCTTATTGGAGCATTTTCAGCTGGAATGTGTGACTTAGTCACTCCTTTTGGGTCTGAAAAAGAGTCTGGCAACTGGTTTGCTAGGCTTTGCAAATGAATTATCTTTTCGGCTTCTAAATCACATTCTTTAGTCCAAGGATCAAGATAAGATAATGATAATTCATTCCAGTTAATATCTTTTTCCAGCTGTTTGTTCTCTCCCTCTAATGTTGGAAAGACAGACTCATTAAAATGACAGTTTGAGAATCGAACCTTGAATAAATCTCCCGTGGATGGCTCTAGATACTTAATTATCGATGGGGAATGGAATCCAACATATATTCCTAACCTTCTTTGAGGTCCCATATTAGATCGTTGTAATGGAGCAATCGGAACATATATAACACATCCAAATATCTTAAGATGAGAAATATTAGGTTCGTGACCCAAGATCAATTGTGATGGGGAGAGTCGATTATTACTCATTGGCCTGATGCGAATCAATGCTGCTGCATGTAATATGGCGTGCCCCCATGCAGAGATTAAGAGTTTTGATTTCATAAGTAATGGTCTAGCAATCAACTGAAGACGTTTTATTAACGATTCAGCTAAACCATTTTTTGTGTGAAAGCTATAGGGTGTTCAACACTTATCCCAATGGACATGCAGAAATCATTAAAGGCCTTTGACGTAAATTCACAAGCATTGTCAAGGCGAATTGCTTTTAGAGGAAAATCTGGAAAATGTGCTCGTAGTTTAATCAGCTGAGCAAGTAGTCTCGCGAATGCCAAATTTTCGAGTTGATAACAAGGAGACATGTGACAATCTGTTCGTTGCATCAATTAGAACCATAAAGTATCTAAAGGTTCCGTACGGTGGGTGAATCGGCCCACAAATGCCTCCTTGAATGCGTTCCAGAAAATTAATCGATTCATGAATTATTTTGGCTGGTGAAGGCCGTATGTTCAACTTTCCTTGTGAACAAGCGGCACATGAAAAATCATTAGGAAAAATCTTTTAGTTCTTCAATGGGTGTCCACAGGAATTAGTGACTATCTTTCGCATCATTGTTGAACCGGGATGGCCCAACCGGTCATGCCAAATAATGATGTTTTCAGTAAACTTCTGGTTTACTATGGCATTTACCTCAATTGTACTAATCGTAGTGTAGTACAATCCAGTAGAGAAGGCGGGTAGTGTTTCCACAATGTTCTTAGAGCTATTGGTAACACTTGTAATCTGAAGGTATTCAACATTTTCTTCACTCATAGTCTCAATATGATATCCATTTTTCTGGATATCCTTAAAGTTCAATAAATTTCTTTGAGACTTGGGAGAATACAATGCATCGACAATTTCGTATTGCGTTCTCATAGGCAATATTATATTTGCTTTTTCAGTGCCTTCAATTATCTTTGCACTACCCGTTACAGTACTCACACTAGCCTCTTTCTTTTTCAAATATGAGAAATATCTCTTACTTTTCAGGATAGTGTGGCTAGTTGCGCTGTCTGCTAAACATAAATCTCCACCATCCATTTTCTTCAAATAAATAAATAATATAAATCATATCAAAATAATTTCATTAAATAAATAGAATTCAACTATGTCTTAAAAGAAAGCAAAAAAAAACACCAAATCATAAAATAAAAGCCAAAAAACTAAATAACTTTAAAAAAAAACCAAAACCCAAAAAAACCAAGTACTAATAAATTAAGAATTAAATTACTGTTTCTCATTTGTGACAAAATCGGCAAGTTCCAGGTGAGTGGTTTCATCATGATCAAAGTCATCTTCGCCATTTTCGTACACCATATTTGTTTCCACTTTCTTCCTTTTTGTTTCAATGATTGTTGATAAAGATCAATGAGATGCTTTGGTGTACAGCACATACGAGCCCAATGTTTTGCTCCACATTGGTAACATACACTCCCATGTGGTGGTTTCTCTTGTTTGTTACCATCTTTGTTTTCCCACTTCTGGAGAGAGTATGAGTTCTTAAAAAAAACTCCTCGATCTCGAAATTTGCTGTCCACGTCCACGTGCATATTCACGACCATGGCCATGACCACGACCACGACCACGACCACGACCACGAGCGTAGCCACTATCTTGTCCATTATTGTTGGTGTGGTTTTGTTCTGTCGTATTTGTTTCAGGGAGCAGAGCAGAACCAGTTGGATGTAATCCCTAATTTTTCAGCAATAGCTCATTGTTTTGCTCAGCCACAAGGAGACAGGATATAAGTTGAGAATACTTCTTAAATCCCTTTTCACGGTATTGTGTCTGTAAGACAATATTATTAGCATGAAAAGTAGAGAATGTCTTCTCCAACTTATCTGTTTCCGAGATTTTCTCTTCACATAATTCTAATTTGGAAGTAATTTTAAACAAGGCTAACTTATAATTACTTACAGACTTAAAGTCTTGTAGTCTCAAATGAGTCCACTTATAATGAGCTTTAGGTAAAATCACGGATTTCTGGTGGTCATATCTTTCCTTTAGATCATTCCAAATGATTTGTGGATCTTCTACAGTCAAGTATTCATTTTCAAGTATTCATTTTTGAGATCCTTGTGGAGATGATGGCGAAGGAATATTATAGTTGCTCGATCTTGACTTTTACCCTCATTTTTCTCTTTGATCGTATGATCCAATTCTTTTGCACTTAGGGATAATTTTGCATCTAGTGCCCATGCCAGATAGTTGCCACCAGTGATGTCAAGAACTTCAAATTCAATGCTAGTAAAATTCGACATGTTCACTTGTTGATTAACGAGAGAGAAAAAAAGGGATCGGAGAGATTGAGAATGAGCGGATGTTGAGGTTGAGGGACGAAGCCAAAAACTCAATTAGTTAGGAACTCGTGCTGATAACTTGTTTCGTAATAAAAGAGTGAAGAGAAGATTTTGTGTATGTTATTTTAAAAACAATGAATCCCTTATATAGGAGTGTATATAAGGGTTTAGCTTTAGTTTGGAAATAAAATAAAATATCTAAGAGATAAATATAGATTGATACACAAGTAAATCTAGAATCTTTTAGAAGATATGGACATTTATATAAAATATTCATAACAGTTTTTATATATATATTTTTTTTATGATATATTTAGTTTGACAACTGGTAATGATGATATAATTATATAAGAACATGATAAATTCATAGACCGGCAATTTGCAAATGATAAAATGGTACCGACATGAGTCAACCTGTCCATAAATTCTCTTTATTTGATAAATTGGCCCGTTGAAAGTTGATAAAGTTGACATTTCAAAAGTATTAAAATGTTGCTATCTCCATTAATTAATTCCTCGTTTTTGTTTTGAACATTTTCGGCAATTCATTCCTCGTTGCAAAACACATAAGGAAAAAGCAAATCTTCACCAAAGTAACATGAATTTAAAAATTCACCAAATTATTTCGACTATTTTTTTTTGTTGGATATTTCTACACTTTTGTTTCTGATTGGTTGTTTAAAAGTTTCCAAATATAATTTTAAACTCTAAAATTTGCAGATTTTTCACAAATGGTGGATTCCGATTTTTATTTTAAACTCTAAAATTAGCTCTGTACTTACGCGCCCTTCTTTCATTTTCCATTGTTGCATAAAGTGAGAAGAGCGTCACAAGAACAATGTCGATAACATTAACGTCTCTGGAACTATTTCTTCTTCTCCATCTTCTTCTTTGTCTCGATTTCTCTTCTTCTCTCACCATACCACTCGGATCTACTCTTCACGCCTCAAATCGCAACCACTCATGGTATTCTCTCAGCTCCGCCTTCTCTCTATCCTTCATTCCCGCCGCAATTCCCGGCTCCTACCTCTTCGCCGTCGTGTTCTCCAACACTGTTCCTATCTGGTCAGCCGGAATCGTCGATTCCGGTGGATCTTTCCGCCTTCTCCGTTCTGGCTCACTCCGACTCGTCAACGGCTCCGGCGCTACTGTGTGGGACTCCGGCAGCGAAAATCAAGGAGTTGCTTCCGCCTCTCTCGAAGATTCTGGAAACTTCGTCCTTCTCAATCGCAGAAACTCGACGGTGTGGTCTTCCTTTGCTCACCCGAGCGACGTTATCGTCCCGACGCAGAGTTTCACCGTCGGTATGTCGCTCCGATCTGGTTCTTACTCGTTTCATCTCTCGAAAAATGGGAATCTGAATCTCAAGTGGAACAATAGCGTAGTGTACTGGAACCTAGGGCTCAACTCCTTAATAGATGGTTCGAATTCGATTTCAAATCTCTCGTCTCCGAGTTTTGTTCTGAAACCCAACGGAGTCGCGTCGATTCTCGATTCTAATTTACCAAACGGCGGTGCGATTTCTGTTTACAGCAGCGATTACGGAGAAGGAAACGATGTGTTTAGGTTTTTGAAGTTAGACGACGATGGAAATCTGAGAATCTACAGTGTTTCTAAAGGCAGTGAGATTCAAACGCAGGGATGGGTGGCTGTTGTTGATCAGTGTCAAGTGTTTGGATTCTGTGGAAGATTTGGGATTTGTAGATACGATGATTCGGGTCCCAAATGCGAGTGTCCATCGGAGAATTTTGTTCCTGTAGATGTGAATGGTATGAGAAAAGGTTGTAGAAGGAAAGTGGAGCTTGAGGATTGTCATGGTAACGAGGCTATGCTTGATTTGGAACACACTAGGTTCTTAACATACCAACCTGAAGTCTCTGCTCAGCGTTTCACGCTTGGGATAGAGGCGTGTCGTGTGAATTGTCTTGTTGGTAGTTTCTGTGTTGCTTCTGTTCCAATGGCCGATGGATCTGGTGTTTGCTTCCTTAAGCCACCTGGTTTCGTTTGTGGCTACAAGAACCCTTCACTTACTAGTACCTCTTCCTTAAAGGTTTGTAAACCAGTTTTACCATATTCTTTGAAGAAAAGTGACGAGCGTTGGCCAATCCGTGTGTGGATCATTGCGGTTGTTGTCATAGCTACGCTTTTGTGTTTGGTTGCAGTAGAGGTTGCTTTGTGGTGGTGCTGCTGCGGAAACAGAAGCAAGTTCGGAGCTTTGTCAACACACCACACTTTACTTGAGTACGCATCTAGTGCACCCATGAGGTTCTCTTACAAAGAGCTGCAACGTTGCACCAAAGGTTTCAAGGAGAAGCTTGGAGCTGGAGGTTTCGGCGCTGTGTATAAAGGCATGCTCGCAAACAGAACTGTGATTGCCGTGAAACGATTGGAAGGGATAGAGCAAGGAGAGAAGCAGTTTAGAACAGAGGTCGCCACCATAGGCAGCACACATCATTTGAACCTGGTCAGGTTAGTAGGTTTCTGCTCCCAAGGACGCCACAGGCTTCTCGTCTATGAGTTTATGAAAAACGGGTCGCTCGACAAGTTCATTTTCGCGGCGGAATCTGGGAGATTGTTGAGTTGGGAGTACCGGTTTTCCATTGCCCTTGGAGCCGCTAAGGCGATTCTTTACCTCCATGAGGAGTGTTCTAATTGCATTGTACACTGCGATATCAAACCTGAGAACATTCTCTTGGATGAAAACTTCAATGCCAAAGTGTCGGATTTTGGACTTGCCAAACTCATACCTAACGACGATAGATACTGGAACATGAGCTGTGTGAGAGGAACCAGAGGGTATCTAGCACCAGAATGGCTTGCAAATCTGCCAATAACTTCAAACTCTGATGTTTACAGCTATGGAATGGTTTTGTTAGAGATTGTCAGCGGAAGACGGAATTTTGAAGTCTCGGAAGAAACAAACCACAAGAAATTCTCAGATTGGGCGTACGAGGAATTCGAAAAGGGTAACAGTGAAGCAATCTTAGACAAATGTCTTCACGGAGATGAAACAGTGGATATGGAACAAGTGAGGAGGATGGTTCAGGCCAGTTTCTGGTGCATACAAAAGCACACGTCTCATAGGCCGTCTATGGGGAAAGTAGTGCAGATTCTAGAAGGAATCGTGGAGATGAGCAAGCCATTGGCTCCAAATGCTATACCCGACGTATCAGTTACATAGAACACGATACACGAGCAGTGTTCTGGCGTTGGCTGCACAGCTCTGCTCCTTTCTTCGTCTTTTTTCCCCACAAATTGCCATAAGAAATTGAGATGGAGCTTCTTATTTTGAAGGGACCTACGACAGGCTGAGCAGTCTTTAAAAGTCTTGATCAAGAAAGATGACCTGAAATAGAGCATATGGAGTTTCCAGGCAGAGTCTAAGATACATTATACAGAACAGGAAGGAGTTTAGTATGGGAACTCGACAATACTTCAAATCTGCAACTTTAAGAGCTCTTGCTTTCCTTTATGATCAATCCTCAGCAACAACTATAAAGCACAGATAATGGGGCCAAGTGAGGACAATCACATCTTATATGGATCCCAGTGAAGAAAGAACCAAATCATTATCACCACTCAAGGTCTAGTATGAATAGTGAGCCGTGAGAGTTAGGACCAGACACATGCATTATCACTTAATCTAAAATTGGTAATATGATGAAACTTCACTGAGTTTGACATGCGTAGCTCTCATGTTCCACGTGAATCGCTTTAGGTAGTTGATGATCCCGCTTATTAGCTCATGTATCCACAGCTATATACTGAAATTTCCGACTTTTAAAGGTTATTATAGTTATCCTCCCATAATTTTTGACAAACTTATTAAGTTGACTACATGATCAACCTAACAAGAATAAAATTAAAGTAATCAGTAAATCTATAGAAAAATTGAAAGTAGTCAAAGACGGGTTCCTAAATAACAAAACAAAGTAAATGAACTTATTGTATTTTATTATTCCTTTTAATTTCCCAGGAAATTATTTTGTTTTCTTGGAAAGAAGATAAAAGGACGTTATATTACTCAATACAAACTTTGAAGGTTATTATAGTTTAGTTATCTTCCCTTTTGTTTATGTAAAACTATGAAATATGTAATTTATGACATATAAATTATAGAATAAATCATAGGGCTTTTAGCGAAAAAACTCTTCAACTAAGTTTGAATCGGATAAAAACTCCTCAACTATTTTTTTAAAGTAAAAATCTCTCAACTAAGTTTTCGTAATGATTTAGTCCTTCTGTGAACAGCACGGTCAAATCTTAACAAATCATTCTTTTTTTAGTAAAAACTACACAATTTTTACTATAAACAACAAGCTTTTTGAAAACCAGATATAAGAATCCCAAATTAAACATAATCTCTAAAATCTCCAAATTCTTAAACCTAAATTGATGAACCCTAATTTTTGAAAGTGTGATCCTAAGTAGTTTTTAAAGTTTGGAAGTCAATTGAGTAAGATTGGAAATGATTTGTTGTGTTGATTAAAACGAATTTGAGAGAAAAGCCCTTGAATTGAGAGAAATATTTTCGCAAATTGGGAGAAAGAGGAGAAAAAATCACAAATCTGAAGCTTGGAAGAAGATGAGCCAACTGTTTTAATTTGATCTTTAAAACCTTGTTCTTCTTCTTCCAACAAATTTACTTAGAAGAAGAATTTAAGAGATTTTCAAATTGAATGAGGAACCCTAATTTTTAAATTGAGAATTTTAAAAGTTTCAAATCGATTTTGGGTTTTCTTTTATTGAAGTCATTTCATTTTTTTAAAAAAATACAAAACACTACGTTTTCATTTAACTGTAATTCGTTAAGATTTGACGGTACTGTTCACGGAGGGGTTAAATCATTACGAAAATTTAGTTAAGGAGTTTTTACATTACAAAAATAGTTGAGGGATTTCTATCCAATTCAAACTTAGTTGAGGGGTTTTTTCACTAAAAACCCTAAATCATTTGTCAATCATCATATATATTATAAGCGAAGTAAAAATTTCGTTTAAAGCTCTCTCATTTAATCTCAGGGTGGCTAATTACCTTTTACCCCTTCTTAAATTAGTTTAAATTAATTTTTATAAAAATATATATTAGAAAAATGAAAATAATGGTTTAAATTAAGTTAACAAACCATTATCATACCGTATATAAAAAAAACCAAAAACAATGGTTTAGGGTTTAAAAACAAATACATTTCCCTTAAAGAGATTGCAGAGTAAAGGATCTGTGATTCTTACAAATACCAAACTTCCCTGAAGGGCAACAATGATTGTATCTGGATTTCATCTGGTATTGTTCTCTTTTAAACAAAGCCATACAAGTGTTGTAAGTTGCAGTAGAAGTAATTAATTTTCACACAAACTTTCTTTCGATGCCAAGATTCAGATTTTTTTAAAAGCTTGTCTTGTACCAGTTTGACTGCCGAGAAAACTGTGAAAGGAGAAAAAAAAAGTTATTTGGGATTTCTTTAAAGCCAAAACGAGAGACAAGACGTCAATAGGTTAAATCACGCAAATGATCTCTAAATCATTTTGCAAGCTTATAAGCTTCTTACAGAGGACAAGCTATATCTTCTAGGTTTTATCTTTAGCCACATAGTTGATCTGACAATTTTTCCAGGTTTTATCGAGAAATCAAGCTTCTGTAATCATACGATCAAATCAAGGGGAATAAAAGGAAAAGCTTTGGTTGAATCAGAAATTAGCTTCGGTTTCCAAAGTTGATCAACAACCCATCAGAAAAAAAAAGTTAAAAAAAATTCAAATAGAGAAGTTAACAAAATTGGTTGAACAAAAATAAAACTTTCAACTCTTCAACATTCAAATTAAGAGAATATATTTTTCTTTTACACTTGGTGGGCGTCTTTTGACAAACAAGAGAGAGCGAAAGTGAAATATTAAATTATGTGTCTTATCTATAGATGACCGACAAAACCATTAGTTTTCATGGAGGATTCTCAACTGGGAAAATGCAAAGAAAAAGTGGGAGACACTAGAGAGGAAAAGAGATGGATGGTCAAAAAAAAAGTAAAAATGGAAGTTTTATAGCCACAAAGTCGTGGCCTTAAGCTCCATGGGAGGGAAGAAGAATGAAGAACACATAGGTAATCGGTGAATCTTTTCTCTGACCAATTACACAGAGGTGATTAGTGTATCATACCAAAGAGACTTGGTTCCCAATGCAAATGAAAATAGCCAAAGCTTCCACTTTCCTTCCTGGTTGCTAGAGATTTTTGTAGCCGATATTATAACAATGTGCCACGATTAAAAACACATGTCCAGTTCTAATTCTTTGGCTAATCTATTATATGATCGATATATTGCATAAGTCTTATATAAAAAGTTTTTTAGTTTGCATGATGATATATGTAACGGAAGGAAGAAGAATGTTGTGGTGCACTTTTTCTATTAATATATAGGTTCATCTTTTTCTATTAAAATATCCATATTAAATGAAATCCAAGCTAAACTATAGGGAAGGTTCATCTTTTTCTATTAATATGTTTGGAATTACAAAAAACATCTCCAAAACATTAAAAAGAAAATAAAGTATACGAAACCGAAGAAGAAAGAAAACCTAGCAAATTTTGCCACAAATCATCAGCTACAAATATCAACCTTAGACGTTGGCAGCCTGATTGGATTCGGTCGCGACATATTACTTTGGTCGAGTGAATTTCATGGACAACAGAGATGGTTTGGATGTGGTAACATGAATCTGTTTTTTGGTATTTTAGGTTACGTTTCGTAGAATTACATGTACACATGATAGGAAAGGTTACCTAGCTTCACAGTGCGTCTTGTGTTTAACTACATAACTTTTGAGGAAATTGTTTTAAAAGTTTGTGTGAGAGGGAGGATGAGAGAGAGAGAGACGTAAAGAAAGAAGTAAAAGCCTTTAAAAGACATATAGATCTGGATAGACAAAATGAGTGATGGAGGGAATGAGTGATAGAGAGAGAGAGAGGGATGGAGGGAATGAGTGAGAGAGAGAGAGATATGGAGGGAATGAGTGAGGGAGTGGGAGAGAGGGAGCAATGGAGAGAGGGAGAGAAAGAAAGGTGAAGCGCAAGAAGGAAAATGCATGAAAGACAAAGTTGAAGAAGTTAAAAATGAGGAGAGGCACAAGAAAAAAAGACAAAGACGATAAAGAAAAAAAACCAAACGGTATAAAATGGTGAAAGAAAAAAAAACGAAAAAGTCACATTTATCTTAATTTAGTTGGTTATAGGGTTTATATACTTATTTACTATTATTTTCTGAGTGTTTATTTTTGGATGGTGTTTACTTTTTGGGATTATTTATGTTTTTGATTTCGTATGTTTTAAATGGATTGTTCTGATTCTTTTGGGTTTATAACTTTAAAATTTTTTTTACGTTTTGAAACTTTTCGGCCTGCGCAAAGCGCGGGCTAAACACCTAGTTGTGATAAAACATGTCGTCAATTGGTGGATTTCTTTATAACCCAAGATGTGTGTTCACAAATAAAAAAAGTGACGTACGTAACTGGTAATGGTAAAGATTAGTGACATGTTTTATCACAGTTGACTTCTTGACTTAGATGGCAAGAGTCTAGATTTGTTTTCACACAAAAAGAAAAAAAAAGTGACATAAGTGGTGAGACTAGTCGTATGTTTTCTCACAGTTGCTTCTTGACTTAGATGCAAGAGTCTACACGGCAAGAATCCATGTAGTTCCAAAAAAGTTTCGCACTCTATGTGGTTGTGAGCCACTTTAGTATCACCATAATGTGAAATGAAATTTGCAATTGCTTCGTCCGATCCCTTGTAATACAGTTTCCTGCGAAACTTGATAAGCACAAAAAAGCTTTTAACCAAAAAAACATTTACAAAATTAAAAAAAAAAAAACAAACTTTGAGAAGCATGAAAGTCCCGTTTCTTTTACTTGCTTTCAATGCTCTCATTTTACTTGAAGCATATCATTTTACCGATGAAACTGATAGACAAGGGTTGTTAGAGTTCAAGTCTCAAGTTTCTCAAGGCAAAAGAGTTGTCTTGTCCTCATGGAATAACTCACTCCTTGTTTGCAAGTGGAAGGGGGTTACATGTGGCCATAAACACAAGAGAGTTACTCGTTTGGACCTTGGAGGACTACAATTGGGCGGAGTGATATCACCATCTATTGGTAATCTTTCCTTTCTCATATCACTTAATCTCTCTGACAACTCTTTCAGTGGAACCATCCCTTCAGAGGTGGGAAAATTGTTCAGACTTAAATACTTGAATCTGAACTTTAATTTCCTCAGAGGAGGGATTCCAGTCAGTCTATATAACTGCTCTAGATTGGCGGAGATTTTTTTATATTCAAATCATCTTGGGGAAGGTGTTTCTTCAGAAGTAGGGTCATTGACAAAGCTTCTTACTTTAGATCTTGGTAAAAACAACTTGAAAGGGAAGCTTCCTGAATCTCTAGGAAACTTGACATCACTCGAGCAACTTAGCTTTACCAATAACAACATAGAAGGGGAAG